CAAAGAGCAAATCTATTAAGAGGGTGCTACTGGCCAACTTTTCACAACCCTTCAATATTCAAGATGTGGAAAGCATTTTATTGCCCATAACCCTTTTTACAGAAAGTACAGATTTCATAAAACTTTCTTATGGCTCTATTTACCTAAATCCAAGACTACTCTGAATATATAAGGCAACCCCCTCAATTATTCTATGCATAGAAAAGTATACATTTGTTATAATTTCCATGTATAGAATCTAATTATTGGAGAATCATCTTAAATTCATTCTCCCCTACTGCTGTGGCCAGGAAAACACTCACAGGGGAGACAAATAGCCAGATCTTTGCCCTTTGTCTCCTGTATCTGCTATCTGCCACCCTCACCTCTTGCCCCATTCCCTGTCACCCCTGCACATGTGCCGAACCCTAGTCACCAGTGCACCTCCCCCCACCCCCCACATGCCATCTGTCCCCACCTGGTGCCTGCTCTCCCACTGTCCCACCCACCATTTACTTTCTGTGGCAACTCTGGCTCTGGGGCATTCAGCAACAGTGGCAGTAGCCCTGACCCTGACCCATTCTAGCCAGACAGAAGCAGTGGCAGCAAGTCCAGGCCCAACTGGGTCAGGGCTGGGGCCAGAGCCAGGGCTGAAGCAGGCACAGCAGGTTACACAGTCTCCCCTGCATCCTCCCTTCACCATGCAGCTTCCTCTGTGTGATCCCCCACCTCCACCATGTGACCTACCTCATGTTCCCCCCACCGTACACCCCTACCCCACCACGTGAGCCAACCCAGCCTGGAGCTGAGGTTAAAGCAGCTGCCTGCCTAGGACCGGTACTCTGCAAAGTATCAGTGCAGGGAATGCCTGCATGGGCAGTGCATGGCACTGCAGACAGGTCTGTGGCACTATGTACCACACGTCCACGCTTGTCTGGACGTGGCCACTGTGTGCAATCTGATTCTAACTGTAAATTTAAATAACTTAACTACATTGGAAGTGGGTTTTTTTTTTATTTATCCTAGTATTTGGCACTTAACATGTTTAATTTCCAAGTTACACTTCTCAGCATCACACATTGTAAAAGTTCTGTTCTGACAGCTGTGCGGTTTGCCAGTGGTCTTTAATACATTCTGCACATAATCAGTGTTCTGAAATGCTTGGCCACTTACTGCCATTGTCCTTTAAAAATCACATACCACTGCAATTTTAGAAATTGAATTGCAGTTTGTACTTCACAGACCTGCTTTCAGGCAAGCGAAGCCAAAGAAAGAGTCTTGCTCAATAGAGAGTATTCCTTTACGCCTTCCAATGGTTTCTCTGTTGCGAACAAAGTAGACCCGATAACCAAGCACAAGAATGAAGATAAGTTTTCAAACAACATCCAAGGCTTTCCTTTTCTTTATGTTTGTGTTATGAAGCAGCTTTACAATTACAACAAAAGTCTTAAGCTCCACAATTTTGCACTGTTTATGATATATGAAGCAATTTATTTCTTCACAGACTTGTTGGATTTTTTTCAAAGACCAAACAAAAGGAACTGAATTTTCACAACAGGATAAATTTGTTGTCTGTGGATGTTGTCACACATATAAGTATCAAATATCCCACTCAAATTAACATACAAAATTAATTTTAAAGTTGAACTGGCATTCAAGAAGTTCAGAGATTATCTGTTGGCAAGAGCTACTTTTTCAAAAGCTCCCGGTTAGCATTCACAATGTTGGATATAACCTAACTCAGGCTCCTGTCTCAGCGTCTTGGCACAATCTGCCCCAAAGGAAGGAAAGATGGCATAGTTCAGAAGGGTTAACCTCTGTCTTCTTGTTCTGTTTTTGTACAGGGCTTAGACAATGGGACTCTGGTTCCTCATTGCAGCTCCCTGGTGTTTCCACACAGTAATAAAAAAACAACTTAAAGGCTGTGTGACCTTACCTGGAATATAATATCATTGCAGGATATGCTTATTTCCATTAAGCATACCGTTCTTATTAACTACAGATGAAACTGAATGCTATGCAAGTCTATACACAGTATATACTACTGAACTCGTAACCCTAGAAGAGAATGTGCCATAAAATCTCCTCAGAAACCAAATCCAGAGAACTCTGCCCAGATGAATTATATAGATAGTCAACAATTAGCAACAATTTTTTTATTGGGGTTTGGAACAGTCACAGGAAAATTTGTATGTTCAGGGTGGACAGAGAATACCGTCCTTTAATTGGTATCCAAATATATGGCCATGTGAGTATTCAATACAGTGTTCGCTATGATGAGCATAAAAGCTATGGAAGGCCTCTATTTTGAAAGAACCATTACAGTAGGGGTAAGACACCTTTTCTGGCTGCAGGCTGAAATGATCCACTTCAGACTGGAGGTTAGTGGGCACTAAGATGCTGCTGTTGCAACCACTTATCCTCATGGTGGCACAGGGAAAGCGCCCACAGACAGTACCCCCACTGCTAAAGCCCCACAACTGTTAGCCAGATCCAAAGGCTCTGAGGGCTACATCCAGCTTGCTAGCTGCAGTTTTCTTACTCTTCTTTATAAACTTCTTATGTTTTTCGGGGGGTTTAAGCATTGCAAACATTTTGGCCAGTGACATTAGCTGCCCACACAATGTCAAAAGAAGTTGGATCTAAGTTTAAACACTGTTTACAGACATAGTAAAAACCCAGTGCAGACTAGGCCTAAGGGAGTATTTTTTTCTGCTCATCACACATTTTTCACATGATACTCCTCGCCTTCTCTGCTAATGGGATCTTAAAAGGCTGTGATAAGATGTCAGACAATCCAGACAGACCTCATGGAGTAATACTACCTCACTGTTGGGCTAGAATATTTGGATACCAAAGAAATAGTGATGAGTATATTATTTAGCTGATTACCGTTTGCTCTGCACACGGTATAAAATATGCTATACCTGCCTGAGACCATCAGTTTTAATTTTGTTTTTAAACCAAAAAGCTATCTTAACACAACCTTGGGCTAAAATAAATAAATAAATCAGGTCTGGTTTAATTAGCCATGCACTTTTAATATTTCTGACAAAGCAAAACATTAATGCAAATTGCTCTATGGCTTATCCCTTTTCTTAGGTAAAATGGCTACATTTGTGCCAATATTGTTGCAATTTAAGATGCACATTCCATCTTCAGATTTTGCATAAGCAAGAGAGAGTTCCAAACAGAAATCAGAGAATGGCAGTAAGTGTTCCAACCTCTAAACCGAATCAGGACAGGACATGGCAGATGGGGATTTCTGTTACGTTGATGCGGCTGGACTAGCTCACAGAACTGCGACTGTGGCATTTCTTTTCAGACTTTGAATCACATCCCCTCTGAATGCCCTCTCCAAGCATGTAATGAAACTTTATTGGATCTGCATAATACTACACCTGAGGCAATCAGCTGGCTGCAAAATTTCGACATAAAATTGTAAATACGTTTCTCCTTGTTTTGTGATCATTGTATCGTATGCTTAAAAAGAAAAAGTTCCAACTGAAAGCTACAGTGTTTCAGGTGCACATGCTATAGATTTTTTCCACTTACTTCTTATTTATAATTTTTGATTTATAAGAAAAATTACAACAAAGTTGCAACAAATTGTTCCACCAATTTTGCAGCTCACTGTCATGTACTTAGATGCCTCACAAATTAAAACCAAATAAATACAAAAAGAAATCCATAAACAAATACAAATCCAACCACATGAGAGCCACTTTTATGGACAGATTTGTAAACCATCACCCCCTTTCTCTGACATACAAACAACCAAACAGGTAAATGCCCTACACAGGCATTCATTATGCAGTGCCTATGCATATGTTTCTTTGGCCTTAAGGCATGTGCTGAACTATTCTGTACACTGTATTCATACTACAAAGTGAACGTAAGCTTTCAAAGAATTCTTAAATGGTTGACTCTGTATGATTTTAAAGGTCTAATCTAGCTAGATGATGTCATATAAGCAATTAATTGATTAACAACTTACAGCCTAGTCCTAACAAAATCCTATACTCATGTGTCTTGAAAGGTACTGTAATTAAAATAAAATCAAATTGAACTCCCACTATAAAAATGATCTTGGGGCTTTTCCTGTCCTTGCCTGCTGATACCTATGAGCAATGGTGAAAGGAGCAAGCCCTCTTAGGTAGGCAACGGTAACCGTGGGGACTGTTGCTCAGTGGAACTGGCTACTGATAACAAACAGTAGCTTTGGTATTCAGGGAAGTATCTACAGTTACTTCATGTCTGGTCGACATTGACTCCCATGAGACTCAATTCAAGCCCGTCACCAAACCTCTTGTTTGTGTCTGAATTCCTGTCCTTTAGCTCCTGATCTTCAGTTTTTATCCTGGTTCTACACCTCAGCTCCTTACAGCCAAGTTAGGCACTTTGGACCCTTCTCTAGTACCCTTGTTGTTTCACATACAAAGTGGGCTTCAGCTTTCTGGCAGGTAATTTGCCAGATACAAATGCAAACCTGGCATTTGTCTAACACACACACAAGTAATCGCTATATACATAATAATTAACCCATATGCATTTTATTTTAATCAGCATTCAGTCAGACCTTTCCCTAAGGCATTCCATGATCTGATGGCTGCTGTTGAGGATGGAGTTCACAGTTCAGTCATAACTGTATGGCTTTAAATGAGTGAAAAGTAAATCCGTCAAAGCTATTACCTGACCACGGTTGTGAAGGCTTAAGTCTAGTCCACATGTAAACTCTGTGTGATGCTCCACAATTTCTAACAAGGGGTTAGGCTTGGAAAAGTCCCAGAATCTATAGAAACAAACAAACAAAAAAACCCATTACAGTAATTGAAAGACCATTCTTTAAAATATAATGCAGGATATTGATATGCCTGACACTGCCAGAACCTTTTCAAAAGCAAACCCATCCACTTAAACATAATTAATTCTATTTCTGCAAAATCCTCTGCTGATCTGCATAAATAAGAACTTCATTGAGGAAAACCATCTCCTTTTTTTTCCCCCCATTACAGAAACTGAGATCAGCAGAGCTGGCTCCAATGACCTGCCCTAGGGACAATCTTTAAAGAACTGTAGTCTGGCTTTCGTTACTAAGGGCCAGTGACTCTAAAATACTTTTCCCCTCAATACCTGCCAAGTTACATCTATAACACATACCCACACCCACACCAGGGCAACTCAAAACTTGGCTTCTTTTATTGTATTGTTCAGTTAGGGGATTTTTTAAAAAATTTTTTTTTGTAATTGAAAACCAGAAGTGGACAGAGATATACGGAATGCTCCTGTTCTCAGATTAATTTATAAGCACACTTCTCACACAACAGTACGTTGGGAGAACACACTTATACTGCTATATTTTTTCCTAACGGATACTAAAGGGAACGGGTAACTTGCATTTTAATTTCACTGCAAATTTATTCATCCCAACTTATCCTCCTTGCCAAGCCCAGTCCAGATGACAACTTTGAAATATAAATTTATGGTATTCTAGTTTTAAACTCATTTCCCCAACACGACAGTAAATGATAATGATAATAAGTACTGTACAGAATGAAGTGTACATATTGGGGTACAATAAGAATTCTTGAGTATGATCTGGAAAGATGCATTCAGTATCTTAATGAAATTTTTAGAAAACTGAAAATTGAGAAGAACCCTGCATCTAATAAAGGCACAAAAATGACAAAGTAATTTAAGTTTCCATGATTCTCTGGTACTGCTTGCAGGGAAAGAAAGTCTAGAAAAGGCTAGTGCTGCATATTTTATGTGGAATTATATTGCCCTGCACCTGGAAATGCTTTCTACACACATTATATTCTTTTGTCTTTTCCTCAACAGTCAAAGCACATCCTTATTCCCCTTTCGTGGAAGTGATTATAAAAAATAATAAAAATTCATTATCAAACCAGCTATACAGAATGTGAGGTACATTCATCAGATCAGTTAAGGTAAACAGCAAACACAGGAACCAAGAGAATGAGTTTGTTTAACCTGCCTGCATTATTTCATTAATAAACGACCTGAATGGTATTAACACAATGGCTCAGCCATAGCAACAACCCTCTTTACATCTTCCTAGCACCAGAATGGTAATATAAACAGCTCATTTTACAAGGAACCAGGAGAAAAAGAACATCTCAGCAACTCTACCCTTAAATTTGTCTGCTAAAATAGATAAGAAAGCAAAGTCTTGTAGCTAAGAACATGCAGTGACCTTCCTCAATGCATCGATTCTGTACTCTTTTGAGGGGAAGGAACCAAACAAATTTAAAATTTAAGACTGAGGGGGAATCTCTATATTTTTGTGGAAAACAAGTTGAAAAGGCTTTCAGCTCACTTTGCTCAATGTTATAAAAATTATGTCAGGAAAAAGATTATTTCAGAACCTCACTATCCAGGGCAAGTTTCACAGAAAACAATCTGGATAGGCCCATTGTTGGGATATAAAAATAGAGTAAGTCCAGGATTAGAGAGGCTATGAGGTTTAGGTGATTGAATATAAGATTGAGAAACATGAATACCTAGATTAAAGCTGACTCTGACACCAGCTTACTGCAGGAGATTGGGCAAATCAGTCATTCTCTGCAATTTGGCTGCTCCCAGCTGTAAAAATGGGCATAATGCCTACCTACTTCACAGAATGAATTCATGCTCATACAGCATTCTAAAGAATCCCATGTTATTTATCATCACTAAAGATAACATCACCAAGGGTACATCTGCACAGAAAAACAAAGGTGTGCTTATAGCATACGTAGGCATTTGCATGATAGCTTTGATTTAGTTAGCATGGATAACAACCACAGTGAATGCATTACAGCATGGATTTCAGCATGGGCTAGCAACCCATACTTGGGATTCCAGGCTAAGCTTATACCGCCAAAGATGTCCCTAATATTTTTGTCCAAGGTACTAGATGAAAGCTATCATGTGTGTGCCTACTGGAGCCAAAACCACATCTTAATTTGCTTTGTTAGAAAACTTATATTAAACCGATTGTTATACTGATTAAATAATTATAATAAAGACTTGTAGTAACTTACTTTGCACTATTTATCCAGTTTGATTACTTTCTACATCTTCCTCCTCTTACAAAATGGCTATGCATTAAGGCCCCCTCTACAAGTTGCAGCAGTAGTCTCCAACCTTTTTAAGTAGGAGGTCATTTTTGGCATTTAAAAGCAACCCAAGATGTACCATGCACTGCCGCCACCCCGCCCAGCAGATAAGTCTGTGGGGAGAGAAAGATGGGGCAGATGGAGACAGTGGGAGGAAAAATTATTTGGGGGTGCACCTCCTCAGCAAGTAAATCCTGCCCAGCTGGGGCCCCACTCAACCGACCCCTGCTCCTGCCCCTGTGGCACTGTCC